TTTTTCAGGTCAGGATGTCGGGCCAGGAGCGTGAGATGACGGATGCTTCAGGACTTTTATGTTATGACTGTGTATATATTTTGATGATATCACGTTTCCGCTGACTTTGATGTTGACGAACTTATTTTCGCACTCTGATTTAATGGTAAGGCGGGGTGTTACAATTGGTATCAGAGCACGTTTCTGCGTCTCTGAAAAAGTTTTTCAGTCAGTATTTTTCAGAAAAACCTGAACCGTCACGCTCACGCCCCGCCGACAACAGGTAAGTGCTGATTTATGTTTTCAGTTATAAACATATTACTTTGCCTATGCTCAGAAATTATGGATCAGGACTTAGTTAAGATGCTCGAATCAGGATCAGACTTTAGAATTCAGGACATTCAGATATGACTCTAGAAATTAGTATATTCTGATATGACTCTAGAGTTCCTCAGGATTCATGTCAGTATTTATCGCCCATTTTTGGCAACTCGTCAAGAGATTTGTATGCCTAAGTAATCAGTCAGAATATTATCACGTGTTCAATAATGTCAAACTTTCTTAATGTTCAGATGCCGCCCCGTAGGGAACCTGATCACCCGGCTCCTACTCAGGCCACAGTAGTCGCACAGTTCCGCGACTATCATGCTGAAAAATTCTCAAGGCAGGGAGATCCTCGTATCGTAGACGAATGGATTCAGGGCCTGGAGTTATCTTCGAGGTCATGGATTGCCCCGATAGATATCGCGTAATCTGCGCTCAGCTTCAGCTTACCAGCGATGCTCGGCTCTGGTGGAATGCCTATTGGAGCATGCGTCCAGGTGAGAAGGCGAGATGTACGTGGGATATGCTTAAGGAGCTAGTCCGCGAGAAGTACTACCCCACTTATTATCGGGCAGAGATGGAGCGTCAGTTCTTATCGCTCCAGCAGGGTACTCGTACGGTTGATGAGTACGAGAGAGAGTTTACTAGACTTGCAGCTTTCGTTCCGGACCTGGTTCGCACGGAGGCCCAAAGAGCACAGCGTTTCATCGACGGGCTTTACCCAGCAGTCCATCACAATATTGTAGGCCATGGGACACAGACATACGCTCGTGCAGTTTCTATTGCTCAGGAGGTGGATGCCAGTATTAGGAGGGAGGCCGTCCGTGATCGTGCCCAACCATTTGCCCCAGTTAAGCCATTCACAGCTCCACCAGCTTCACCAGCTGCTCAGCCGACGAAGGAGAAGAAGAGGAAGGGGAAGGGTGCTCAGACCGACAGGAGGACCCGACAGAGACAGCAGCAGGTTCCACCGTGCCCGACTTGCGGACGACTTCACCATGGAGAGTGCCACATGGGTCAGGACATTTGCTACTACTGCCACGAGCCTGGACATTTTGTGAGTCGCTGTCCGAAGAGACTTCAGCAGCAGCCTCAGCAGCCTCAGCAGCCGCCACAGCAGCAGCAGCCACGTCAGCAGGCGCAGAGGCTGCCTCAGCAGCAGCAGTAGAGGGGCAGACAGCAGGCCCGAGTCTACACGGTTGATCAGGCCGAGGCAGCACAGCAGCCAGGTACTATGTCAGGGATGGTTGTGCTTAATGATATTCCTGTTTTCGCTTTGTTCAACACTGGAGCAACGCATTCATTCATTTCACGACGATGTCTTGATGCCATTGGAGTTCATGCCGTTACCGCTGTCGATCCTCTCGAGGTGAGTTTAGCCTCGAAACGAAAGATAGTTACCTCAGCTAAAGCTTCAGATCTTAGCCTTTCCATTGGTGATCGTTCATTGTCTACCGACGCGTTTGTTCTCGAGATGAGGGACTTTGACCTTATTCTCGGAATGGATTGGCTATCCTTTTATCATGCAGATATCAGATGTCACGACCGGGAGATTACTCT